ATGACACTTTAACCTTTTTATAACTGTCATTTACGTGTGTGTATATATATAGGGTTGGGTTTCGGTGAGAATGAGAGTTATGGTGAAAAGGGTAAAAAAAATATCTCCACCCTTGGATTAATCCTAATTGAGGAGTTCCACTAGATCAATACTAATGAGAAACATCAAATTAATTCTTTTTCAAAGCGCAATTCATGGGTTAGTTTGAGATTAAAAGTGATCATGAGTCAAAATCTCTTCCTACACTTCTCACTTTAACTCATAATCTCACACGACCCTTTGTCTATATATTTATATATGATATAGAGATTTATCGCTATAAGAAATGCCTCGAAAAAATGTAATGGCCTCACCGTGGCTCCTAAATGCTTGAGGCTTCATCTCGTTGCCACACCATACCTCATGTCATTTAGAATTTTGAATGAGACTTTCCGTTGATTGTATGTAATAATGTCTTAAAATGTTAAAAGACAATTGTTTTGTAATAATCAGCTAATAAAAAAGATACTTCAGTTATTTTTAATCTGTTTTTATAAATTACTTGTAGAGAATGGAATTCAATTCCATTTCAAATCTTACAAACCAAACACACAAAAGATTCAAAATCTCTTCAATTCCAAATTCTTTCACGAAATCCAGATCCCTCTAAACCATTCCATCAAACCACGTTTGATTTGATGGAATGGTTTTGAAGGATTTGAATTTTGTGTAAGAATTTGAAATTGTAGAGATTTGAAATCTTCAGTGGGTTTCATTCGCAGGAGATGAAATTATATTCAATTCTGTATAAAAATAATTAAACTTTTTTTATTAACTGATTGTTACAAAACAAATTTTTTAACATATTATAAAACACGATTACGCACAAATCCCGTGAAATACCAACCACACTCGTAGGATTTCAAAATCCTATCCTATATTTGTGTGGTTTCAACGTAATCTCGGGATTCTAAATCCATGAAATCGTTCAAACCAAACATATGATTGAAATGGAAATCAGTTTCAAAATCCAATCAAATCCTACAAACCAATCAGAGTAGGGTTTTTGCACCAAGGACATTTATATACTGATCCGTTCTTTGCATATATTCATGTCGATTAATTGTTATATTATCTACTGAAAACAACTAATTAACGCTTCAGTAACAAGAATTTAAAAGGGCAAATTGCATGAAAAAGTAACGTACTTTAACTTGATTCCTATTTTGGGTAACGTATTTTCAAAACTTCCATTTTTGTACCTAAGATGTAAAATTTTAAACATTTAAGTACCCGAGTAACCCGGAAAGACTAATTTTAGACTAAAAAAAAAGACTAATTTTAGATTTTAAAAAATCCACGTCACTGACCACGTCAACAAATAATACCAAGTTTGATATCACATCACTCGCCACATCAGCATGATAATCGGTTAATACTTCAACCAGTTACCTGGGTACTTAAATGTTTAAAACTTTACATCTTAGGTACCAAAATGGAAGTTTTGAAAGTACATTACCCAAAATAGGAATCAAGTTAAAGTATGTTACTTTTTCATGCAATTTGCCGAATTTAAAACGTTACAAGAAAAACACAGTCTTAAGCACGAAAGTCTTTTCTATTTCATTTTTGTCGAGTACAACAATATAAGTCATCGTCAAACTAACGTAAAATATTTTGTTCTGAGCCCTTGATGTCGTTGTCGTTCTTTCAAGCCATACTGATTTTTTCATTGGAAAATATTCTTGCCCGTTTTACTACGTAATATATTAGAATATGACGTCATAGATTTAATTGATAAAATGAACAACGTCGTGGTAAAAGTAAATAGTAAAACTACACTAGGCCCAATTACAAAGAGGCATTATATTTTAGGCTCAAAAGAAAAAAAAAGGGTAAAGGTCGTATTTTGTTGGGCTTAAATACCTTATTCGGGTTGTTTATTTATCGTTTAATAATCGTTTACCAAACGGTTGCTGGTAAGCTTTTATTAAGGGGCTGTTTGTTTTTAATAAAAAAGCTCTTAATATCCTCTTAAGTCTGAATCGGTCAGACATAAGAGGATTCAGTGTGTTTTTTTTTTCAATTAAGAGCTTAAAAACTCTTATTAGGTCTGAAAATATAAGTGGTTGCGAAACCTTTTATTTCAAATCGTCGCCTACCTACTCTGATCTCTTTGCGCTCGATTTCTCTAGATCAACTCTTCTGTCTCGATTTCTCTAGATCAACTCTTCTGTCTCGATTTCTCATCTCTCAACTTTGTCAACCGTCGATTCATATCGACTCTCGATCTCTCATCTTCAAACTTCATATTTCAGACGCAAAAAACAAACAGTCTGACTGATTCAGATTTCAGACTTCAGCACAACCTCTTAAAAATCAGAAGTGAATTCAGACTTCAGACTTCAGCACCTCTTAAAAAACAAACGCCACCTAAGTCACCATTACTTTACCGGATGGACATAGCAAAGACTGAGAATCTTCAAAATGGAAAAGAGAAATTATTGTTTATTATTCATATAATAAGAAATCTTGATATTAGACAATTAGGAAAGAGAAATAATATTTTATAAATTATATTGAATATTATAATAATACAGTTAATATTGTAATCTTCAAAATGGAAAAGCCGGTAAAGAGATGAAAGTCAGTAAATTTTTTTTTAAATATTGACTTTTAATTATCTATTTTGAAGAAGCTGTTGAAAATGCTCTAACCTGACCCAACCCTACCCTCATGGCTTAAGTTGAAAATTTTCAAACACACATATATTAAAATAAGTTGTTCAAATGCTTTCAAACCGATCAATCTATCAGATCATATTGTTACCTTCTTATAGACACATAAAAACACTACTTTTTGTATATTTGTATACATATTTCTAATTTATCTAAAATAATATTAATCGTTATTTATATGGAGTTGTTTATTTATCTTTTAATAGTTTCATTAAGAGGTAGTTTCTGAATCGTTAAGAGATGAATATTGTTTAGTAAAAAAAAAAGTCTGTATCTTAATGATTCTAATATCATTATAATGATTTTGTACTTTAGGCCTCCCTTAATCATTCGGGACCTTAATTTCATCATGAATAATTATTAAACAATTATATTTTATTTTGCACAATATATTATAAGAATTGTTTGATCATTCTGACCACTTAATTATTTTACATCAAATAATTTAGTAACTGCCAACTAACCCTTACTTTTTCTTTAATCAACGGTCTTTTATTATTTAACCACAAGGACGATGTCTGATTGGTTTAAGCTTAGCTCCAAATGTCAAAAGTACCAGAAGATCCCAGGTTCAAATCCAAGGAGAAATAAAAATCCCCTTGTGGCCACGGAAATTCAAATGCGGTGACTCCGGGCTATCTGCAAAGCAGGTGGTCACCTTAGAATTAGTCGGCTCGCATAACGGGTTGGATATCCAGATTAATAAAAAAAAGTATTTTATTATTTAATTATTTTTATTTTATATTAGGAAAAATCAATTGCACTTTTATGTTCTTCAAAATCATACTTTCTTGGAATTCAACCCAAAGATACCACTTCCTCGTTGTCCATGTCATATTTCCCTCCACATTCTCTGGAATCCAATCCCACCACCATCGCCACCGCCTTCGCCATCGCATTTCGCCGCCGCCACCGCCACTGCCACCGCCGTCCTCCTAAACCCATCTTCTTCTTCTCCCCTTTTATGATTTTACGACCGAAACGTCACCAGAAAATGATCACAACATCTAATTGACGGATGGGATCAAATCCCTTCAACAATTTCTTCAACCTCTCCAAACTTTAGGTATTTCTCTCTTCTCTCTATCTCTATCTATCTATATATATATATATATATATACACACACACACACATATATGTGTATCTCTGTGTGTTTTAGATTATATAAAACACTCATTATATGCATACATGCACCTTTCGCTATATGTTATAGAATTTGGCCACCTTTCTTCTCAAATTCGCATTATCGTTTGAAATCGAAGGGTTTTTAGGTTTCGTTTGTGAAATTATAAAATGTACGAGTGTTGATTTTAGGGATTTTGAGGACAAAACGGAAATCCCTTAAGAATGCTATGAAATGTTGCATATCGTTGTTCTAATAAGTAGTTTTCCCCATAAAATTGAGCCACTTGGAGTTGGGAATTAGGGTTAATTTGCAGAAAACCCAAGAATTCTGATATATTTATAAACATTCTCACTGATTTCCCCCCTTTTTTGTATTCCAGAAAGTAGGGTTTCATTTGCATTCGACATGAAGCTTGTTTCTTTACTGAAAACCCTACTAATTTCGGGCATGTCGATGGATAGGAAAACCTTTTTTCGTATCGTATTTTCTGGTTGGCGTGATCGCACTTCGTTGTATGAAAGTGTATCTTTTTTTCTGGGAATTGGCCTACCCGAGGCTTCGCTCTCGTGGCCAAAAAACGCATATGTAGATAGCAGGATTTGAATCCGGGTTGATTTTGTCATCCTCTTGTATTAATTCACCATGCTACCACCCTTGTAAACAGGGGCGGACTCGGAATTTGTTTCAAGCGGTGACGCCATTTGACTATAAGAAACAACTGTAGGGATATTTTTCATAAAATCATTATTGGTCTGTTGGTTAGTTCGTTGCTTTTCATATGTGAGGTCTTGTGTTCAAGTCTTTTTATTGCAAATTCTTTTCAGAAGCATAATAAATCTGAAATTAAAAGCTAAAAACTAAGAAAATGACACTGACGAGATTTGAATTCGGGCATGGGGTGGAAAAAAAGCCTTGCAAACCAACTCTATCAAGGAAAACTTGTGTCCTTTCGGTATAACAGGGCCTCCAAAAAGATTGGAACGGCCCTACTCGACCGCATTTACTGAATTGACTCATATTTTGCAATTTTCTTTTTTGCTTTCGTGAATTTTGAAACTTGAAATCCTATTAAACCGAAAAAAGATATCTTGATTCAGGGCAAACCGATCAAGATTTGTGTTTCCTAACTTGTGTATTGGGGTTGTTTTGGTGCAAAATGGCCTCGAGTAACACAACGCTTGATTGTGCACCTCCTATGAAGGCTACATCCCATGGGGTGTTTCAAGGAGACAACCCACTTCATTCGGCACTCCCTCTTGTCATTTTACAAATGTGCCTTGTGCTCGTACTCACTCGAGTCCTCGCTTACCTTCTTAAGCCATTACGGCAACCTCGAGTTGTTGCAGAGATCGTTGTAAGTTTCTTGATCCCCCTAATTTTCATTTTGATTGGTTAAAACTTTTAGTGCATTCTTGAAAGGTCGAAAGTTTGATATGGCATGTGGTTTTCAAGACAAGTGTTTGACAGGGTAAAAGGCAATGTCGACGTACATCTTACACTCCACGTTCTATCTGTGTGTGGGATTTTTGGGTTCGTATGGTTTATTGTTTGATATGGTGGCTCTACCCCGTGGGTAGGGACTCCAGTCCCTACTCTTGCATGGGATTTTCTAGGTTCGTTTGGTTTGATTCGGTTTGTTGTTTGACAGGGTGGTGCTACCCCTGGGGTATAGGGGTAGGGGCTAGGTTTGCGTACAACCTACCCCCAAGATCCTACCTCTGCGTAGGATTTATTGGGTTTGTTTGTTTTTTTGTTTCACGTGGTGGTGGGTAGGGCGTAAACGAGTCGAGTAACAGTTTCAGGCTCAAGCTCGAGCTCAAATATTTTTTCAATGTTTGAGCTCGAGCTCGTTTATGAGCTCAAATTTGAGATTAATTAACTCGTTTATTTACTTAAGCTCGATAAGTTTATATTTTGATTATATAGAGGGAGGTTCAGAGGAAAGCTCCAAAAAATTGAAAATTTGAGGAACACCATGGTATCGGTTCATCTGGACGGTATGCACATGTGCATACAAGTAATGGAAGTTCTTTTTTGGTTTTTATGCACGTGAGTACGTTATGCACATGTGCATGCATAGCAAATTGCTTACAGATTACTTGTATGCATGTGCATAATGTCCAGATGAAAGGTTACTGGTGTGTTCCTCCATTTTTCATTTTTTCATTTTTGTAGGGTTTTTTCCTGACCCTGACCCTGACCCTGACCCTGACCCTGACCCTGACCCTGACCTTGACCATACTATTAGTAGACATATAAATATGTTTAGCTCAAAAATGTGTATGCTCGAATGGCTCGGCTCTACTCGACTCGTAAAGTTTATCGAGCTCTCGAACGATTCGAGTCAAACATTGGTGTTTTGGAGCTTGACTCGTTAAGTTAAGCGAGCTTTATTTTTGTATTCGAGATCGACTCAAGCTTGATAATTATTAAGCTTGAGCTCGAGTAGCTCGCTAAAAGCTTGACTCTTTTACACCCGTACCCCTGGGTAAGGGTAGAGGCACGGTCAATATACACCCTACCCCAAACCGTACTTCCGTGTGGGATTTACTGGTTCATTTGATTTGGTTTTTTGTTTGACAAAGATGGATCTACCCGTGGGTATGGGTAGGGGTGAGGTCTGTGTACATCCTACATTCTAGACCCTACCTCAGTGTGGGATTTACTAGGTTCGTTTGGTTTTTGTTTGATTGGGTGGGTAGGGGTAGAGGCAAAGTGTGCCTACATCCTACCCCTAGACTGTACCTCTGTATGGGATTTACTGGGTTCGTTTGGTTTTTTGTTTGATAGGGTGGAGTTTTGCTTGGTCCTTCAGCTCTTGGCCGAAACAAAGCATATCTTCATGCGGTTTTTCCTCCGAGGAGCCTTACTGTATTGGACACGCTCGCAAACCTCGGACTTCTGTTCTTCCTCTTCCTTGTTGGGCTCGAGCTCGACTTGAACTCCCTTCTCCGGACCGGTAAGAAAGCACTGAGCATAGCTATTGCCGGAATCAGCTTCCCTTTCGTCTTAGGTACAGGCGTATCCTTTATTCTTCGTGGGACCATCTCCAAAGGTGTTGATGAAGGCCCGTTTATTGTTTTCATGGGGGTCGCTATGTCCATTACCGCTTTCCCCGTGCTTGCACGAATCTTGGCTGAACTCAAGCTCTTGACGACTGACGTTGGTAAAATGGCCATGTCCGCGGCCGCCGTTAACGATGTGGTGGCCTGGATTCTACTCGCACTGGCTGTTGCCCTTTCGGGAACTGGTCGTTCTCCGCTCGTTGCACTATGGGTGTTCTTGTGTGCGTCGGCTTTCATCGTGTTGTGCTCGTTCTTGGTGCCGCCGGTTTTCAAATGGATGTCGCAACGGTGCCCCGATGGCGAGCCAGTGGACGAGCTGTACGTTTGCGCAACTCTAGGTGGGGTTTTGGCGGCGGGTTTCATCACGGATACTATCGGGATTCATGCGCTTTTCGGGGCTTTCGTGGTCGGAGTTCTGATCCCGAAAGAAGGTGCTTTTGCAGGGGCATTGGTGGAAAAAGTTGAGGATCTCGTCTCTGGATTGTTCTTACCGCTTTACTTTGTATCGAGTGGTTTGAAAACGAACGTGTCCTCGATCCAAGGTGCTCGGTCTTGGGGTTTACTCGTTTTGGTCATTCTTACTGCGTGTTTTGGGAAGATTGCGGGATCCGTTGGGATTTCACTTGTGTGTAAGATCCCGTTCATGGAGGCCCTTGCGATCGGGCTTTTGATGAACACGAAGGGTTTGGTTGAACTTATCGTTCTCAACATCGGGAAAGACAGAGGGGTATGTGTCTTGTAGGGTGCGTCTGGAATGCCAGATAGGACAAAACAAAAACTTGTTGTCTCCCGTGTGGTGCAACATTAGACTGGGACAGGACATGACTGAGTTTGACAAAAATGCAATTTTTCTGTCTCACCAAAATAGGTGAAACAAAAATAAGGGAGATAAGACAAGATTGGTAAATTTACTAAACTACCCATGTCAATTAAAATCCTAAAACTTTCACAAGTCTTTAGGTTTTATAGTTTTAATTTAATAGGGGTATTTTAGTAATTTACCAAACTTTGTCCCACTCTCTAATTTTGGTGGGATCATTTGGTCCTGTCGTGTGTCGTGTTTCGGTCTAAATGTCACACCAATAGGACAACAAGTTTTTGTCCTGTTTACGTTGCTTTTTTTCCGTTCGTGTTTGAGTTTTTTATGTTATTTTCACTCATAGTTTGCCGGAATTTCAGGTACTGAACGATGAAACATTCGCTATATTGGTTTTGATGGCACTATTAACGACATTTATCACGACGCCCCTAGTCGTTGCAGTATATAAGCCGGCGAAAGCACCATCAAATTCTGAATACAAACACCGAATGCTTCACCGGAAAGGTTCTTCCACGAGCCCGTTCCGTATGTTGTTCTGCTTCCACAGCGTAAGAAACATACCAACGATGATCAATCTGATCGAGGTTTTACGTGGGACTGGAAAGAAGGAGGTGCTTCTGGTCCACGCGATGCACCTCATGGAGCTTTCCGAGAGGTCTTCGGCTATACTCATGGTTCATAAGGCCCGAAAAAACGGGCTCCCGTTTTGGAAGAAGGATCCGAACTCGGGCTCGGACCAGATCGTGGTGGCATTCGAGGCTTTCCAGCATCTGAGTAAGGTCTCAATCTGGCCAACGACCGCCATATCGGCGGTTTCAAGCATGCATGAAGATATTTGCAATGGGGCCGAGCGTAATCGGGCTGCCATGATCATCCTCCCGTTCCATAAGCACCTCAGGCTCGATGGTCAACTCGAAACCACTCGAGCCGAATACAGGTAGTGAATGTTTTTCACGTCATCAGATGTTACAAGATCAGTAGATATCAGCTAAAATGGGTATAAAATAAAAAACTTTGAAAACCTTAATTACAACAAAATCGTCTGTTTTATAGGATGCCAAAAATGTCTAAATGTCCTAATAAATTGTTTTATAGGACCCAACAGTATCACGTCCTATGTAAAAGTGTTAACAATAAATTGAAATTACGTTTTTGGACACATTAACAAGTTTTTTAGGACATTTTTAAAATAAAATGACTAGTTTCTTTTTAACACACAGGACAATTGTTTTTATAAAATAATGTTATATAAAAATAAAGGAAACTATGATTTTCATCCCTCTGGTTTGTTAATAATTTTGATTTTCATCCCCATGTTTTAGAAATTGCTATTTTCGTCCCTATGGTTTGAAAGTTATTGCTATTTTCGTCCTTGGACTCACTTCAGCTTTTAAGTACAAGGGACCAAAACAATAAGGAATTGTAAACAATAGAACCGAAACAACAATAAATTGTAAAACATAAGGATGAAAATTATAAACCACATGGACGGATATCACAATACACCATGGGGACGAAAATCGTATTTTTTAACAAACCATAGGTACGGAAAGCGTCTATAAATATTAATATGACTTTTCATTTTAGAAGTGTCCTAAATGGTGTTCTATAAACTTATTACAACATTTTTACACAGAAAATATAACTGTTTTGTTCTATAAACTTAGGTCCTATAAAGTAGTCTATTAAGACTTTGACGTTCTATAAACCTGATTCTGTTATGATGTTTGCTATATCGATTAAGAAACTAAACGAAACTTTGTTGCATTTTGATGTGTTTCGTCCATTATAAAACTATTTAACGAGCCGACTCGTTTCTGATTTCAGACACGTTAATCGGAAGGTTTTGGAGTATGCACCGTGTTCAGTTGGCATTTTAGTCGACCGTGGTTTTGGCGGGAGCTCACATATTGCCGCCAGCAATGTCGACTCGGTGGTTACGGTATTATTCTTCGGCGGCCATGATGACCATGAGGCATTGGCCTATGGTGCCCGAATGGCCGAGCATCCCGGAATCAACCTTACCGTGGTCCGATTCCTTCTCAACCCTACCGATACCACCAGCACCCCGGGATCCGTCACCGTCGATATCCAAGAATCCAGCACCGCTGAAGCCCAGTCGGCCGATGACGAAGTTATTAAAGAATTCAACATGAAGTTGGTCTCGAAGGATTGCAACATGAAATACGACGAAAGAGTGGTGGCGGATGGGTCGGAGATGGCGGAGATGATCCGTGAATATAGCCGGAGCAACCTTTTTCTGGTGGGGAGGATGCCGGAAGGTGAGGTGGTGGCGGCGTTGCTGAAGACGAAAAGCGAGTGCCCGGAGATGGGACCGATCGGAAACTTGCTGATTTCGCCGAGCTTCACGACGGGGGCGTCGGTGCTGGTGGTGCAGCATTATCATCGTCAATTATCTCTGATTTCGTTAGCTTCTTTGAAAGAAGATGAAACCACTGATTTGGGTGTATAGCGATTACCCTTTTTTCAATTGATTTCGTTATCGTTTTCTACTTCGATTTGATGTACAAATTAGACAATGAAATTGTACAAAAATTGGTGTAAAAACTTAATTTCTGTGAGTAAATTACGTTTTTCATTCATGCGGTTTGTTATAAATTGTGATTTTTGCTTCTTGTGTTTTAGAAATTACGGTTTTTATCGTTACGGTTTACAAGTAAATTGTGCGTAAATACAACTTATTAATTTCCATGTTTGAATTCGTGTAACCAACAACAGATAAACATAATCAACTACACGATAAACATCTTATTTTAAATATAAAAAATCTAAAATATAATTAAGATAATTATTGAGTTATACTTATAAGATATAACAGAATACTTAAATATTATCCTTATAAAAAATATATTATTAAACAAAAAATAAATTATTTTGTGATTGAACCGAAATTAAATTATGATAAAAAATTCGAATTAAAGAAATTACATAAAAAATGTAAAATTTTAAAAAGTTAATTTGATACTAATATCAATATTTTTTTTTCAAATATTTATGGATAAAACCATTATCGCTTTTTTAAAATCACAAAAAACTGTATTATATCGACATAAGCAAAAAATAAATCGAAACATTATCTCGATGTATCTCGCTGCATTGTGTGAGTATCCTTCTAATATTAATAAATTAGTTGAACACGTCACAACTCACACGTTCAATTTAAGCTTGATACCAAATCTTTATATTTGTGTAAATGTTTGCACCCGGTGTTCATAGCGTTGGGGTTATGTGTTCATATATTTTATACGATATGAACAAGAGGTGAACACGATATGAACAAGGGGTGAAAAACCATATAAGATCAGAAACATATATGAACAAGTGGTGAACCTTAAACGGTGTGGATGCAATGCATGTATAAAACTCCAATTGACAAAGTATCGCTCTTGAATGTGTTTATAATAAATGAATTATTGTTCACAAACTGTTCATATCGTGTTCATACCTGTTTTTTTTATTTATTTCCTTTCGTATAGCAGTTATTCTTATTATGTTCATATTGTGTTCATAAATGCTATGCAGTCCAAGTTCATATATATGTCAAATTTTTGTTCGTATTTGACACAATGATTCATATATATATAGTTGTGTTCATATGGTTCTTACATTAGCAAAAAAATATAGAATTTTTGATTTTGTAACTCCCAATTAATTAATGATATGAGAGTTACATACATTTTTTTTAATCTAAATACCCTTTTCAACATTGTTCACTTATCTTTATGCAATTTTAAATTTAAAAAAATAAGTTTTTATCGTGATTAATCACAACCGTTTATTGAAAGATTGAATGGCCAAGATCGGTTAACAAAGTTAACACAAAAACTTTNTATATATATATATATATATATATATATATATATATATATATATAGAAAGAGAGAGAGAAATGAGGTTTACTTTTATAAACTACGTTATTTGTACAAACCTCTTTCAACCAACCATAATTTTTTATTTCATTATTTTTTTATAATTTTGGGAAGTTGATTAATCATTTACAAAATAATTTTATGCCATGCCTCTAGAAGACAAATATAACTTGGATGCGATTTGTTGTTTCTTGAACAAACGTATTCGTTTTGTTTTAAAAAATAATCCTTTTAAATTTGATTTTAAATTATCGTTTAAATATTTATAATTTAAAACTGATAATGATTTGTAATAAATATATTATACCGACTATAATCGATATAAAACAAAAGAGTTAGGTTCACGTGAGACCAAGTTGTTTCTTGAAACTCGTGAGACCACTTTTTTACATTTGAAACTTCACAGTAAAATGCTGTGAAGATAAAAAAAAGGCCGACCCTTCACAGCGTTTTGCTGTAAAGTTTCAAGTTTTAAAAAAATGATCTCACGAGACTCATGAAAACAGGCTGGTCTCACGTGATTTCAAGACAAAATGTCATAAATATCGTCTATGCAAAGTCATTATATAATAAATAAAATATTGTCGTTTTTTAAGGTTTATTTTATGAGTAAATTGCATAATAATTAATGCATTTCTAAAAGCATTAATTTTATTGTAAATGATGGAAATAAAACAATAACTTTTTTATTGTAAAATCAGAAGACTTAGGGGAGGTTTACCCAAATGTTTATCCGATAAATGCTTACTGATATGATTCAACATTATAATTTTTTTATACGTAAAATTTTAGTACATCAAAACATATCGAATGCAACAAGTTACTGGATAAGTGTTTACCTGGGTAAGAGTCGTCATCCATACTTACCGGGTAAGACTCTCTATCCTTTTCATTGCTCTTACCCGATAAGATTCTTGGCCCTTCTCATGTTTATTCGATAAGAAAATTTATCCGGTAAGCATTTACCAAGTAAGTGTTTAGTAAACGGCCCCTTAACCGACAGAAAAATCCATTAATTGTTCGTTGTAGAGAGTCATGAGCGGCGGATTACCGACGAATCTCCTCGTCGGAGAAAGTGTGGGATCACCGACGGGTTTTCACTTTTCCATTGATAAACCATCGATGATGGTCAATCTGCCAGTGATCTACCACAAGTATGTCGGAAATTATCATCGAAAAAATCCATCAATGAAGGATCTTTGTTTTATATAGTTATTTTGAGAGCATATACTTCATAGTAAAAATCAAATAAAAGTCACTGTAACATAATCGAGTTTACAGGACACCGACAATACCTAAATGTTATAGTATATTGATATATAGGACTTAAATGTACAGAACTCACCAACAAAATGTCATATCTAAAAGTGTTATAATAAATTTATAGGACGGAACCACTTAAATTGTGGCGCATTGGTTAAGCCTAAGGGGATGTAATGGAAAATTTCATCTGCCCCAGGTTCGAGTCTAGGCGCCCCCAAGGCCATTATGGTGATAGAGGGTTACCTGTGATGACTCCTACAAGCCATTCATGGTCGTCCAGGGATTAGTCAATGCGTGTAAGCTAACCCGGAAACCAAAGGTTACGTAAAAAAAGTTTATGGGACGTTTTTTGGACGTCGTATAAACTCTCAAGACATTTTAAAAATAAAACTCCGTGTTAATTATTTTATATAAATTTGTCATATTTTTACAATGACGTTTTTATAAAACATTTTTTCAAATTATGTTCTATAAAGTAGTTAATATGACAGTTTATTTTTAAAAATATCAAAGTTTGTTAAGACATCTAAAAACATCATATAAACCTATTACGACACTTTTAGATATAAACATAATTTAGTGTAAACAGTGATACTATATTATAAAATATTTGACAAAGATTCTTAAAAACTATTTTTTATGCATGAAGTACTGTTTATTGATGCATATTACTTAAAATTCAAGATTACAAGTAGTTTTGCGCAAATACAATTTATTAAAGCTTCATTTTTAAATCCGTATAACTAACTGTAGATAAAGATAATCAAATACATGATAGACATTCATTTTAAAATAGAAAATCTAAAATATAATTAAGATAATCACTGAGTTCTAACAAAATGTTTACTTATTATTTTTATAAAAAAATATATATTATTAAATCAAAATAAATTATTTTGTTATTAACTCTAAATTAAATTATAAAAAAATTGAATTAAAGAAGTTATACCAGAAAAACGAGAACTATTAAATAGTTAATTTGATACTAATATCGATTTATTTTTTTCAAATTTTTATGTTATCTTCAAATTTATATTTCATTCAAAAATTAAACATTATCGTTTTTTCAAAATCATATAAATCGTATTATATCTATAGAGACAAAAGAATTAAAACTAAACATTAAAATGATTTATCTCGCTACATTGCGTGAGTACCCTTCTAATATATATATATATCTGATTTTTTCTTAAAAATATAATAATTATAACATTAATAATCTTGAAATTTGGATATACATGAAAAGGGTTTGGTGAGTTTTGGATTTGGTGCGGGAAGATCCATATTCCAACGGTAGGCTTTGTTTTGCATGTTACAACACTCGCTTGATCATAGCCGTTTATCTTTTTAAATATTTTATTAAGAATCATAATCTATGATATATTATAAAATATTTTATAAAAATTCTTAAAAATTATTTTTTATACATGAAGTAATATTTATTAATGCATATGTTACTTAAAATTCAAGATTACAAATAAATTGTGCATAAGTACAACTTATTAAAATTTCATGTTTGAATTCGTGTAAATAACTGCAGATAAACATAGTGAAATATAGGATAAAATTTTCATTTTAAATATAAAATATATAAAATATTATTACGACAATCATTGAAATCTAACAGAATACTTAATTATTATCCTTATAAAAAATTATCTATACTATATTATAAAACATTTGACAAAAACTCTTAATTTTTTTTTATACATGAAATATTGTTTATTAATGCATATATTACTTAAAATTCAAGATTACAAATAAATTGTGCGTAAATACAACTTATTAAAGCTTCATATTTGAATTCGTGTAACTAACTGCAGATAAACATAATGAAATATAAGATAAACATTTCATTTTAAATATAAAATATCTAAAATATAATTATGACAATCATTGAAATCTAACAGAATACTTAGTTATTATCCTTATAAAAAATTGTCTATACTATATTATAAAACATTTGACAAAAACTCTTAAAAATTATTTTGTATGCATAAAGTACTATTTATTGATGCATATTATTTAAAATTCAAGATTACAAGTAAATTAAGCGTAAGTACAACTTATTATTGCTTTATTTTTTAATTTGTAAAACTAATTATAGATAAATATAATCAAATACATGATTGACATTTCATTTTGAATATAAAAAATATAAAATATAATTAAAATAGTCATTAGTTATAACAAAATACTTAATTATGTTTATAAAAATTATATTATTAAATGGTAAATAAAATACTTCCTTATTAAATCTAAATTAAATTATAAATAAAATATTGAATTAACGAAACTACACAAAAAACCAGAACTTTAAATAGTAAATTTGATACTAATATCGATATATGTTTTTTCCAAATTTTTATGATATATTTAATTCATATTTTATTAAAAAAATTAAAAGTATTATTGCTTTCTCAAAATCACTAAAAACCGTATTATATCGACATAAATAAATAATAAAACGAAACGTTAAAATCGAGATATGTCTCGCTGTATTATGCGAGCACCTTTCTAATATTACTAAATCAAAAATAAATTACTTCATTATTAGATCTAAATTAAATTATAATAAAAAAATTACACAAAAATAAGAACTTTTAAATAGTTAATTTGATACTAATATTGATATATTTATTTTCAAAATTTTATGATATATTCAAGTCTATATTTTATTCAAAAATAAAAACATTATCTTTGTTTCTGAAAACCACATAAAAACCATATTATAACATCTACAGAGACGAAATAAAACGAAATATTAAAATCGAGATATATCTTGCTGCATTGCGCGAGTACCCTTCTAGTATTTTTATAACATTAGTTTTTATTTTTCTACCTAAAAATAAAAATAGCATAAACCTTTTATAAAAAAATTGAAATAAATAATTATATAATTACTAAGCATGAAAAAACCATTTTAAAATTTTCACTGATGTGATATAATAACCAGATATTCCCAAACATGTTGCGGTTGTAACTCTATATATATTAAAGAAAGAACTTCATTTTGTTGTATCAAAACATAACCATCGATGGCACGAATAGTATGCAAATACAGTTTGTTTATTATCTGGTTAGTTCTAATCCTGCAGTATTCTCTTTCCACTTGTGCTCACTCGAAAAAACTGTATGAGAATAAACCATGTAAGAGATTCGTGCTCTATTACCATGACATTCTCTTCAATGGTACTAATATCGCTAACGCCACTTCTGCTGCAACCACGAACTATACCAGTCTTGGGAATTTCAAGCATGGGATGCTTGTCGTCTTCGATGATCCCATGACCAAAGACAACCACCTCTTATCTACCCCAGTGGCTCGAGCACAAGGGTTTTACTTCTACGATATGAAGACAACGTATAATGCCTGGTTTTCTTACACGTTGATTTTCAATTCTACTGAACATAAGGGTACACTTAACATTATGGGTGCAGATATGATGAGTGAGGAGACCAGAGATCTATCGGTTGTCGGTGGCACGGGTGATTTCTTTATGGCACGAGGAATTGCTACTTTTCGTACTGATGTTGCTCAAGATGATTACTATTTTCGACTTGAAATGGATATCAAGCTGTACGAATGTTATTAGATCATCTTTCCGTTTCTAGATTTGAAAAATCATCTTTCCGTTTCTAGATTTGAAAAGTTTTAGTACTGTAATATTTCTTTTTCGACCACGGTGGTACTTAAACACCAGTGTTTTATGTATTATATATATATATATATATATATATATTAATAGAGTTATGACCTAGTTGTTTTTTATGTTGTCTTTTGCATATATATAATATTGGAAAATATGATTTTTTTTCCGTTAAATACTCCATCTCTCTCAAAATAAGTGGTCACAATAAAAAGGAACAAAAATTTATACATGCATAATTATTATATTTTTAGTCAACCAAATGACAACTTTGCCCTTAATCAATTCATTCGTACTTGTAACATCCAGACATTTCAAATAAACACATTATATTACAAATTCATCCCCTGATCAAGCACTGCAATTGCATCAGAAATGAAATTTATACATCGTAAAACAGATAGCAATCTATCGTTGCAATTCCTACATATAGTATTGTAGCTAGTCTATGTATCGGTACCTTGATGTACTCAATTTTCTCATGTGTCAATCCTCGAATCTTCTATTTATCCTATGGGTGTTCATCTGTTGAGATCCAATGGATTTAAGTGGATATGATCCGATCCAATCATCCATTGGATGTTGGATTTTGTCTGATCCGATCCAAATCCAGTGAATGATTGAATCAGATTTGTTCCATCCATTGGATGTTACTACGGGTTATGCATTGGATTTGATTTAATTCATCCAATCCTTCGATCCAATATTCAAACCTATTATTCGAATATTTTCTAAAGTTATTAAAAAGCAATGTATATAAATATCAATTAAAAAACAAAATCATAAAATATTAATACATAGTTACTAATTGGATGTTAGTTAGATGAGAATTGGATGGTCATTGTATTGGACCGATTCAGTTTTATTGAATGTTGAACTGTCATCCAAGAACCGACTCATCCGATTTGGATGTAGAAATTTTGGATCTGATCCAATCCAATTACAATTGGATATCCGATGATGGTCGGTCGGTTGATATTGGATCGGATGACTTTCTACAGCCCTAATTTATCCTACTTTTCTTTCCAACCAAGTACCCATCTGGGTTGCAAAAGTTTAAAAGAGTTTGGACGTGTCTAAGGCCTAGTGAATCCACAGTTTTAACATAAGAGCAACAACTTCCATCACAATCAGTGTTTTACAAAACACTGTAATATAAATGCACGTTTTGACATAACAGTGGCATCATAGCATGTGTCTACTTCACAAAGCATGTCCCGACGCATCCACTTGCCTACTGTTACGGTTTACTTCTCACAGTCTGTCAAAACCTACTTTTCTTGCTCTTACGATACAAACCTGACAACACCCACTTGTCTTGCTCTTACAACACACCGTAGAACAATCCTATTGCCACACAAATACGTTCAACATATATAATCATGTATGTTTCAAGACATATCACATGTTTATCCAATTTCAACACAACATAAAATCACGACATAAAGCAATATCAAGGGTGATGTCTGATTAGTTTGAACTTGACTCCAAATGTCAAAAGTACCAGAAGGTCTCAGGTTCAAATCCAAGGAGGAATAAAAATTCCCTTGTGGCCACGGAGGTTCAAATGCGGTGACTCCGGGCTATCTGCAAAACATGTGGTCATCCTGGGATTAGTTGGCTCGCATAGCGGGTTGCATATGTGTGTGTGCGCGCACACGTGTGCATGCATGCGCGTATATGCGTGCGTGAGAGAAATCTGGAGATAATATAAAAAATAACGAATAACCACAAATAAATGGATGAAAAATATATATCAATATGGATGTAAAATTGAAGATAATAAAATAATTTTTTTTTACAATTTGTTTTGCTCAAATTTTGGCTATATTTAACTGATTTTTACTAAAAAAAAAGTAGGGCGATATTCTTAGTTACACTACAACAAAATCGGGTTTATAGAACACTCTCAGATTCTAAGCGTCCTAATAGACCTCTTTATAGGACTTAGTTTATAAGACCAAAAAAATTAAGTGTACTATCTAAATGCGTTGTAATAAGTTTATATGACCTTTTTTGACGTCGTACTAAGTTTTTTAGGGCGCTTTTAATAGGACATTATTTGAAAAACTGTCCTATAAAAACAAGTGTCCTATAAAAAATTGAGTTCATAGGACACTTTCTAAAAAATATCTTATAAAGTTGCTAATGCGACACTTTGTATTAAAAATGTCATAAAAAACTTGTTAAGACGTCCAAAAACGTCATATAAACTTATTACAACACCTTTAGATATGACGTTTTATATTTTGGTCTTATAAATTAAGTCCTATAAAACAGTCTATTAAATGAGTTCTTCGGTTCTTTCTTTTGTGAGGGTTCTCTCCATTTGCCAGATTTCAATTCATTTCATAACCCCGCACATTGGCTCTTGGGCCATGATGCCCATGAGCCATGAGTACCACCAATCCAAAAGAAAAACAGATGATTATATTTAACGGTGGTTTTTTTTTTGGGTAAAGGGGACGGAACTCCGGAAAAATTTATTGAATTCAACGGTGGTTTGTTAAAGAGAACATCAGTAATGACTCATGCCATTTTCAATACTGTTTGTCGTAATATATGAAATTATATTTTATTTAATTTTATATTAAATTAAATTATTTTCCCATTATATTATTATGAAATGATAATTAAGAAATTTGGATACATATGAATAAGGTTTTCTTTTTCTTAGAAGAAACGAACCTTTTATTGGTGAGTTTTGATTTGGTGTGGAGGCTTTGTTTTGCATGCAAATTGTTAGTACACGTCACCCACACAAACATTTGGTTGATTATAATTTTTATTTATTTAATTATTAATTATATGTATTTTAAAATAGTGTAAGTTGAATTTTAATTCTTTTATCTAGAAATAAAAATACCATTATGGCTTGTTTGATTTGGTAGAATGTTATGAAAGAATTTGGATTTTGTGAAAGAATTTAGAATTGAAAAGATTTAAAAGTTTAACAGTTGTTGAATGGTTTAGTGTAGAATGATTAAGATGTTCTTATGATGTAGTGCAAAATGAAATATAACTATTTGGTGATTTTTTAGAATGAAATTAGGGCGTTGAATGGTTAAGGGAGACCCAAGATACAAAATTATTCAGAGGGTTTTAAAACCATTAAGAGACAGACTTTTTTTTGACAAACATGATTTACCTCTTAGCAATTCAGAGGTTGTCTCTTAATGGAATTATTAAGAGGTAAAAATACCATTATGGCTTGTTTACATCTTAATGGTTTCATTAAGAGACAGCCTCTGAACCGTTAAGAGCTGATTCTTGTTTGGTAAAAAAAAATTGTCTTTTAATGATTGTAAAACCCTCTGAATGGTTTTGTATCTTATGTATCCCTTGATCATTCAGCACTTTAATTTTATTCTGAATAATTACCAAACTATTATATTTCATTTTGCACTATATTATAAGAGTCTCTTAATCATTTTGCACCAAACCATTCAACAACTGCCAAACAACTCCTAATAGTTTTATCGTTATTTTCATATATCTATACTATATTATAAAGCATTTGATAAAAAAAATAAAAAATATTTTTTTGCACGAAGTACTGTTTATTGATGCATATTACTTAAAATTAAAGATTACAAGTAAAATTGTTCGTAAATACAACTTATTAAAGCTTCATGTTTGAATTTATGTAACTAACTCAGATAAACATAATCAAATACATGATAAACATCTCATTCTAAATATAAAAAATCTAAAATATAATTAGGATAATTATTAAGTTCTAATAAAATACATACTTATTATCTTTATAAAAAATTATATTATTAAACCTAAATTAAATTATTTCGTTACGTTAAATTAAATTACAATAAAAATTGAATTAAATAAATTACACAAAACAAAAAGTTTTAAATAGTTAATTTGATACTAGTATCGACATAGTTTTTAAAAAAATTTATGATATTTTCAAATTTATATTTTATTCAAAAATAAAAAACTAGCTTTCTCAAAACAACATAAGACCGTATTATATCGACATAGATAAAAAATAAAATAAAATATTGAAATCAAGATGTATCTCGATACATTGCACGTGTATCTTTCTAAATTTTTTTAAAATGCTAATATTTTACAACTCTGATATAATAATTAGCCAAGTTTGTAAACATGATGCCTTTTTCCTGAATTATTTTCTATTTCTATAATCTAAATATGGTATATTCCCAAAACAAGTTGCATTTGTCAATATATATATATATATATATATATATATATATATGTATATAAAGCAAAGAACTTCATTTTATTGTATCAACCCTTAACTAGCAATGGCACGAATAGTTTGCAAATACAGTTATTTAGTTCTTCTATCAATTATGATTATACTCTCTCTTTCTACTTATGTTCACTCGAACAGACTGAATGAGAATAAACCATGTAAGAGATTCACGCTCTACTACCACGACATCCTCTTCAATGGTACCAATGTTGCTAATGCCACTTCAGCCACAGCCGTGAATCGTACCAAACTCGGGGATTTCAAGCTTGGGATGCTTGTCGTCTTCGATGACCCCATGACCATAGACAACCACCTCTTATCCCCCCCTGTGGCTCGAGCACAAGGATTTTACTTCTACGATATGAAGACTACTTATAATGCATGGTTTTCTTATACGTTAATTTTCAATTCCACTGAACATAAAGGTACAATTAACATTATGGGTGCAGATATGATGGATGAGGAGACGAGAGATCTTTCAGTTGTTGGTGGTACAGGTGATTTCTTTATGACACGAGGGATAGCTACTTTTCGTACCGACACTTTTCAGGGTGCTGACTATTTTCGGGTTCAAATGGACATCAAGTTGTACGAGTGTTATTAAATGATATTCTCGTTAATAAATATTGAAGAATTTCAGTACTGTAATATTTCTTTTATGATCATTGAGTACCTAAACACCAAATGATGTTTTATGTCTTTATATATTAATAGGGTTATAACCCATGTTATGTTATCTCGTATTTTTGTAATAACCCGAAAATATGTGTTTTTCCTTAAATACCCTTTTTAAGTTTTTACTATATACGTGTGTTTTTGGATAATATAATGTGTTTGGAATGTTGACAATCTGTGTTCTATAAATTGTCTTAAATACCCTTTGAATTTTTATCGTCCTTCTCGAAATAATCAGTACTCTAGTCATCTACATTCTTTATCCTATAAGAAATTATAGCATTTTGATCTGAGATATCGTTTATGCAGCATCCCGCTCTTGACTAGCTACTTTTGTCTACCTTCATATGAGTATACTTCTTAGAGGAAGCTTGATACATTTGTACATACGCCTTTTTGTTCTCAATATTGCCTTTTGATACCTGTCTGTTAATCAATCTATTCATTCGGTAGAAACTGATTTTTTTTTCGATATTTGCAATGCAAATCTCTGGCTGTGAAATGGTACAGTTATTTTCCCAAAACATGTGCTAAAGAACGACGACCCCAAAATCTCCTTGTTCATTGTCAAATTTCAGTTTTTCGATTCTCGGCATCTGATATATATTTGGAAGTATCACTTTCTCTGTCTCTAATCTTTGAAGAAAATACATATTTTAATTCAGAACAATTTTGTGATTAACGTGCTTTCAATCAACTCATATTTCACGGTTTTTTTTACCTGGTTTTCAAATTAACATGACAATTGTTTAACCATCACTTTGTAATTTATATTTTATTCAAATATAATTATCAGGGTTTTTAACAGAAAAATTATAATAGTATTCTTTCTTAGGGGGTGTTTGGGATTGCTTATTTGAAACAACTTATACTTTTCTATAAAAGCATTTATCAACTTATTATAAGTCAGAAGTGTTTACAATCTTCAAAAACTTCTTATTACCGGTTTGACACCGGTATAAGTTGTTTATCCAAACACTAAAAAATGCTTATTACCGGTGTTACATCGGAATAAATCAATATGTTGTTTTTATAAGCAATCCCAAATCCCCCTTAGTTTATATAAAATCTTACATCTCATTGCATTAACACATTTGGTAAAGTTGATTTTATTCCATATGATTTTTAAGCTTCAATAAACAAACTAATAAAGAGTAAACAATGTGATTTGTTAGAAGGGTAAATTGCATGAAAAAAATAATGTATTTTAATTTGATTCTTAGTTTGGGTAACATATTTTTAAAACTTTCATTTTGATATATAAGATGTAAAATTTCAAACATTTAAGCACTCGGGTAATTGGTTGAAAACTAATTTTAGATTAAGAAAAGACTAATGTTAGATTAAAAAATCAATATCACTAACCACGTCAGCAAATAATACTGAGTTGGATACCACATCACTCGTTACATCAGCATGATAACTGGTTACCCGGGTACTTAAATGTTTAAAACTTTACATCTTAGATACCAAAATGAAAGTTTTGAAAGTACGTTATCCAAAATATGAATCAAGTTAGAGTACGTTACTTTTCATGCAATTTACCCTTGTTAAAAATTTCAATTTTGCTAACTCTTACATTTAAGTACGAGTGACGAAAACAACAATGAATTGTAAACCAGACGAAATTAACACTAAAATTGAAAGAGTAAATTACCTTTTTCGTTCTTATGGGTTGTTGAATATTGCGGATTTTCCTTGTAGTTTCGAAATTACAGTTTACATCCCTATAGTTTGTCCATCATTACTATTCTCGTCCTTATTATTTAAACTTTATTGTTGTTTTCGTTTCTATAATTTATAATTTTTCATTTTAATCCCTCGTATTTAAATATAAGAATTAACCCGAGAGATAAAAATAGCAATGATTTGTAAATATAAGGATGAAAACTGAAATTTCAAAATTAGAGAGATAAATACGTAACATTTAACAAACCACAGGGAAAGAAAACGTAATTTACTTAAATTTAAATCATAATAACTAAAACAACAATGAATCTTAAATTATAAGGATAAAAGGGTAAAAATAACAATTTTTACAAACCACAGGGACTAAAAACACAATTTACTCAAAAATTTGCCATTTTTAGCGGGAAACAACTGACCAGCAGCTCCTCCTCCCTCTTATTTACAACTACCACCGCTGCTTCATCCTCTATCTCCGCAGCTCGCCGCCGTTAACCACCGTTCTTTCAGGAGATCCGCTCATTTATCTTCGATATTTTCAGATTACTAAACATGATTTGCGTTGTGTTTATGTGTGTTGGAAATTTTGTAAAAAATTGTGTAGACGAGAAACCATATATCAAATGCATACACCTGTAAATATAGGTATAGATAGATATAGAAAAGTATATACGGAGAGTCTCTGGAATTTGTAGCATCGAGAATTTCTGTGTCGGAGAAAGCAGACAGTATATACGTATACGAATAAAGGGACAGAGAAGCCGATCTCTGTTTTAATTCCGAAAGATAATTTTGATTAATATCGATGAGATATCTCTCTATATTGTGATTAATAAGTGCAATTTTTCAGAGTTTTGTTTACATTTTTGGGCTGTTTTGGAGGTATCGGAAGAAATTTAAGCTACAGATCAAGGATTCTGATCGTAAGTTATTTTATCCCCTCAATATCATCTGTTTTGTCAATTACTACGTCCGATTGTCTCGTATTGTGACAACTTTTGCTTGGACAAGAGAAATTAGGGTTTGAAATTGAGGAAAGATGGACCAAGGCCGTGGTGCGTTTGTGTCGGCATTGAGCGTGGGAATCGGTATAGGGGTTGGGCTTGGAATGGGGAAGACGGTAAATCGTTGGACCGGAAATTCTGATTCATCAGGGACCGGTCTCACGCCACAAACAATGGAGCGTGAGATGCTTGGTATGATCGTCGATGGCAAAGACAGCAAGGTCACTTTCTATGAATTTCCATATTACCTCAGGTAATGGCAATCCATATGCAAATTTTAATTTTGCAAAATGATTTTGGTTTGATTAAATTTATTGATGCTTTTAGGATGTCTTCTAATTGATTGTCAATAAAGATGGACCCAAAAATTAATTCAAAATGTATTTTATATCAACCAATTGTAGGATGATGTTTCTTTTTGCATATATATGGAGGATCTGTGTCAACCTTGAAGGTGTCAAGTTTAAGTCTATGGTGATCCACACTTCACATCCCTTGATTTGGGTTGTACATTACAAGATTATATCTTAGAAATGGATGGTTCATAAATGGTCATCTTCTTTCAGTAGCATACTTTTCCTTTTTATTGCAACTTTGAGTTGCAAACTTAATGACATAACCAAACCAAAAATGTCCCACTTGGAGGTGGAGTTTGAAGGGTAGGATGTATGTTACATACCTGAATATATTCTTGGGATAGATATATTCTTGCTTCGTGTATCGGATGTCGCAGCCTCATTATGCCCTTATTGTGAATAAGAAAGTAAAATTAGAATATGGAAAAAGTTTGGAGCAAGTACACCTATCCGATCTCTTCCATTTTGCTCCATTTATCTTTAACTTAACATCACGTGTACATGCAAATGGTTGGCAAAGATAAGATGGCTAAATGTTACTGTACTTGTAGCTCGATTTTATTGTTCCATTGAAGGAAGATGTACAGGTTGCAGACAAATGGTTAAAGTTGGAGAGTAATCCAATGGGGTTCTAGATATTCTCACATGATATCAAAACGAAGTCTACGACTCCAGGTGATCGACAGTTCAGGACAATTTGTACTTGTCAGGCCCCTGCCCCCTCTCGACATTCTGGGACAATCTGTGCTTGTGTAGCCTCCATTGGAGTTCCCACATCAGCTACACTTGGATTATTTCTCCTCAATATATGTCGGAACCTCCCTTCTCTCTTCAAATGTACTCTAATGGGGTTTCACATATTCTCACATCAGTATTTATCATATAACAAACTTCAAGGAAACCATTTTACTACAATAACTTTGTAGGAGGAAGCGTACTATGTTACATGGAATTATGGGTATACATCGAACCAAAAATTGTTGGACAGAAGTGGTTTACAATGTCCTAATATGGATGCTTAAAGTTTATATTGAAGCTGTGGAACCATCTAAATCATTTAAAAAATTATTGAATTTACCTCCTTATTTGGTTTACATTAATTATCTTGTTGACCGTTGTAACAGTGAGCAGACAAGGGTCTTACTTACAAGTGCTGCCTTTGTTTATTTAAAGAATATCGACTTCTCTAAGCACACAAGGAACCTCGCTCCTGCAAGTCGAACTATATTGTTATCTGGGCCTGCTGGTTAGTTGTTTAGGCTTGTTCTATTTGTCTTGCTTAAACATATATCTCTTAAATGTTGTCCTAAATTTTCTTGCTTGTTATGGGTTTGAAGAACTTTATCAGCAAATGCTTGCCAAAGCTTTGGCTCATTATTTTGAAGCCAAGCTGCTATTGCTGGATGTTACAGATTTTTCTCTTAAGGTGAGTGCCAAAAAAATCTTTTTAGGGAATGTTTTGGCAAACTATTGGTTATTGGCCGATAAACTAGCTGCTAGCATAAATGCTAGTCGTTGGTTAATAAAGTTGTCTTGTAGCCGATAAACTAGTCATGTTTAATAAAAACTAGTAAACTAGTTGATAAGCTAGATGACATTGTAAAATGACCTACAATGACATTTTGAAGAAGTTGGGAAAATACAAGGGGAATAATTGGAATTTTTTTTTTGAAAATAACGCTGGAGCTAATTAAAATGCTACTTGAAAAGTAGCTTATCAAAAACTTAGCTTATGGCAAACATGACTAGTGATTATGGTTAAAAAATGAGTTAGCTTATGGTTGCCAAAAATGGCGTTGTACTTTTCTACTGATTATGATCATTGTTTTCTGTAGCTTCAAAGCAAATACGGAGCTTCTGCTAAAGAAAAAGTAAGCCCCGTGACCACTTGATTAGCAGATGTTCTTGGATTAGATTGTGTTTAATAGCTTTTTTTTCAATCTTCTTCTGTTCATTTATGAACTGGATGCATTTTCTGTTGCACGATGCCCTTTCTGGAAAGAGAAGATGAGGTTGTTTGACGATTACTCCATCCACTAATACACTGTATTTGTAGTCCTTGAAAAGGTCAATATCGGAAACAACTTTGGCACGAATGTCTGGCTTTTTGGAATCTGTGGTTCAACCCAAAGTGGAACGAAAAGGTATTTAAGCTATCTGTTAAGTTTACAATCTCCATGTTCAATTGCATTACCTTACTGGGGACAGATAATCAGTGTTATTTTGTCCATACTCAAATGAGGAATAAGTTTATCCTTCAATCGTGTGCGTATAAAGATTATGCATCATTCTGGTAAGTTGATATTTCTAGTTCAGTAGTTCTTGATAAGGAAGTACAAAGAAATTGATAAAATCCAAGATTACATTGAATTTTTTCCTTGTATCTGGTAATGGTCACAGTAGTTTACCATCTGCCGACCACCTCCTACTGGGTAAGAGGTGCTTACCCGGTAAGGAGGGATGCTGTTTACCAACACTATGACCCACAAATATGTTGAACAAGATGCTAACGCAGTAAGGAAGGGGTTGCTTTCTGACTCAGTCAGTACCTTAGGCAGCGCTAACCCAGACCGAACTCTTACTCTGTCAACACTTACCTAATTTATGTTGGTAAATGGCGTGTTTACTTTTGTTCTTGTCCATTTGATATTGGATAGCTGTTCTGCAGGGGGCTTACGTAGACAAAGCAGTGTTTCTGATTTTGGATCAAGGTTTGATTTTTAATACTTTCACTTGGCTATTGATTGAAATGTTAAGCATCCTGCATACTGGTTGTTGTGTTCTATTTTGTCTTTATTTTTATTTAATTACAGAGGGATCGAACCTCTCCAGAATCCCCCAAACCTTCGGAGAAATGCATCTACTGCAGCTAATATGAATGAGTTCTCTGCAAACTATGCTCCAGTAAATCCAGGTAAAAAGCTAGGGAGGGCTCCATATATGTTAAAATAAATATGATCTGGTATAAAGATCATGCATCAGGTTTCCAGGTAGCGACACTGTAATACCTTTTTTGGTAACCATGGCCTTGTCCGGGCCATCTTGCATATGTCAACAAATCCCATGGTGCCCCTTGTGGCCTTAAAGATAACACTGCAGTAGCTTATTTTCAGAACATAGGGTATAGATGGAAATTTCCATGTAAAGTTACATCGAGAGTTGAACATGGTATTAAGGGACAGAGATCAAGTCGTAGAAAGCATTAATTGACCCTCACTATCTTGTCATTTTAGTTTCTTGATTAATGGTGAATCAAGAAACTAAGTGGTTTCGGTAGGAACATGACAAAAGAAAAAACTTGTCTCTCATTTTTGTGATACATTAGACTTGGATACAAAAATGCAGTTTTCTTCGGAGAGATGGAGAAAATTGGTAAATTATTGGACTTACTTATGGCAAATTAAAACCCTAAAACCTTGCACAATTCTTTCACCTGCCTAACTTACTCTCGTCAGTCCAGTCCTTTCTAGTCCCGTCCAGTCCTGTCTGTGTACCAAATGCACTCTTAAGTGAATTCAGTTTGGAATTTGTGTTTTTAGAGCGGGCAATTGTTGGATTAATATAGAAAGGCATGTTCGAACATCGTTCTTGTTAGAGTCTTATGTTAGGAAGTCTTAAAAAAGCGTGAATTTCTTTTTTGCTTCTGGTAAGCTATGACACTACCTTCTTCTCAGCTCCACTTAGACGCACAAGCAGCTGGTCTTTCGACGAGAAGCTTTTCGTGCAGACCTTATACAAGGTATCATGCCTCCCTTCTGTTCCTTTGTTACAATGTGTATTTGGTGTAATCATGATTATTTGTAACAACCTGTCCTACATGCATAGAAAATCAGATTTCTAAGCTCCATGTAAACTTAAAAGTTATGGCTACCAATAAATTCTATCATGGTTTTAAGTTGATTTAGAGGTTATTGGGCAGATTGCTTCAGGCTATGAGGCATTACAAATGGCATCAGAGTCAGGAATTTAAGTAGGGTAGTTTATAACAGTCCGTCCTACATGGATAGAAAATTAGATTTCTGAGCTCCTTAGAGCATCTCCAACAACTATGCTATATTTTCTCTAAAATAGTCTTGAAACTCAATCTCTAAAAATGTTACATTAAACTCCAAGAGTTACTCTATTTTAGCAATCTCAGTAGTAACCGTACTATTAAAATATTCAATACATTTAATAAAATATTATTTCTCTCTCCTAAACATTTATTTTCAGTACTTCTTTTTGGTGGGAAAGTATAAAACAATAATTTCTTTCTCTATATATAGAGATTTCTTTAAATTTAGAGATCTTTGCAACATTTCTCCTCTTTTCTCTATTTTAGCATACAAGATAGCATAGTTGTTAATTTTTTTTTTGCTAAAATCCTTTTTTCTCCATTTTACCATAGCTGTTGGAGATGCTCTTATAATCTCAAAGTTGTCGGCTATCAATAACTTATAACATGGTTTTAAGTTGATTTGGAGGTTATTTGTCAAACTGCTTTAGGCTATGAGGCGTTACAAATGGTATCAAAGTCAAGATTTTAAGTGACGGAGTTTGTTATGACCCGTCCTACATGGACATAAAATTAGATTTGTGAGCTTTTAGAGCATCTCCAACAAGATTCTCAAAAAAATCACCAAAATGGAGAATAAACTTCAAAATCTCTAAAACAAAAATACATTCAACTCCAATAGAATCTTCATTTTGGAGAATACACCATTGATTATATTATTAAAATATTTAATTCATCTAATAAAACATTATTTCTTTCTAAATATTTGATTTCAAAGTCTTCTATTGGCGGAAAGCCAAAAAAATGTCCCTATCCCAATGAAGCAAGAATTCAAGAAGACACAAATTTTTTAAGGGTTTGAAACCTAGTCAAGCTAGACGGCTCATCCCCACACCAGTTATTATTGAAAAAAAGAAAGTTACAACAGGGGGACATAAACCAAAACCCCGAACAACAAAACAAAGATAAAATCACCTATTCACCTAAACCGGTGTCTTCGTGCACTTCGTGAAGCAAAATCTTCAATTAATCTATCATAGTCAACCTTTGCTAAAAACTTCCTTCCGATGCTCAAAGTTGCTAACTAGTTAAGCCTCTCTTGGCTCATGGTAGTCCGCAAATATGACTTCAATAGCTTTAATTTTGAAAAACTTCTTTTGGCGGATGCTACCATGACTGGTATGGTTAACAAAATCTTGTAGGCAAGCAACACGTGTGGGAACATATCCACCTTCCGCACAAACTCCATAACTTGAATAGACGTCCAAGGCTTTTCTTCCCCGTATGCTTCATATGGTATCATGCCCTACAAAATTTGTAACTCCATATAAAAATAATTCCCATCAATATCAACAATTCAACATCATCACCATGTGTCGAAATAACCTTAATTTTCAACAACATTTCTTTAATTCATCATTTTTCAATTTAACCAACTTTGAAGCATCAAACAAGAACCCAAATATAGACTCAAAATGTTTCATCTGTTCAAATCCACTTCTTAATTGAGAAAGTGCCATATTCACCAAAACTAAAAAATAATGAGCTTTAAATGATTCTTAGGCAAATTGTTGTTGTCTTTCACTATTTGGGATCTCATCAAATTGTTTTTTTCTACAAAGATAACGTTTTACAGAAAATTCGGGTTCAACTCCAACATTTTCTGCAATTTCTTTAGCTTCAATGATAGCTAAGTCAAACCTATTGTCCTTATACTTTTTAAAATAAACAACCAATCCTTCCAAGTTTTTTTATCGCAATATCTAGAAGCATATCTTTTGACTATAACTTTTTGCTAACCAAATTGATTCTATATAAGATCTCATGTCAGATAACCAAACTTAAAATAAATTCAAAACTTGAAAGCTCACTATTTATTAAAGATTCGGCATCTTTACACACTTTTCCATCTTCACATACATTGGCTAATTTTATCAAAGCATTTTTTATTTGGCCAAATTAAGTTCTTATTGCTTTAACACTTTATTTCCTTTGACCAAGTCGAGTTTTTTTTATTAAAAAAATGAACATGAACTAATATATAGAAGGGGCTTTGGGCTATGATGCAAAGGCCCATGTAATGGGCTGGCCCTGTTGGTATGAAATTGTGAATATATTAAAAAAATATCTCTTTAAAGTGTAATCATTTTTGGGTGTTCAAATTTAGAGATTTTTAAACTCTCTCCTGCTTTCCTCCATTTTGGATAAAGGTTTTTGAGAATTTGTTGGAGCAAAAAACATACCCAAAATCTCTATTTTCTTTATTTTGAAGAATATGTTGGAGATGCTCTTGTAATCTCAAAGTTGTCTGACTACCAATAAATTTCACCGTAGTTTTAAATTGATTTGAGGGTTATTGGGCCTATCGGGCTATGAGACTTTACATTATCGCATGAACACATCTTTTTCCTTACGCTTGCAGGTTCTTATGTTCACAGCAAACAACTGTCCAATTGTGTTATATCTTAGAGATGTTGAGAAGTTCCTAGGCAAATCACAGAAGATATATATCCTCTTCCAGAAAATGTTGAAAAAATTGTCTGGACCGATACTGATCATAGGTTCACGGATCGTGGACCATGAGAAAGACGACAATGTAGTAGATAACAGGATTACTTCTGTGTTCCCATACACCATTGAAATCAAACCTCCTGAAGAGGAAAACCATCTGGTGAGTTGGAAGAACCAATTGCAAGAAGATATGAAGATGATCCAGTTTCAGGATAACAGAAATCATATTAGCGAAGTGCTTGCGGCTAATGATCTCGACTGTGATGATCTTGGTTCTATATGTGTAGCTGACACAATTGTTCTCAGCAAATACATCGACGAAATTGTGGTATCGGCCATTTCTCATCATTTAACACATACCAAGAATCCTGACTACAGAAATGGAAAACTAGTCATCTCTGCTGCAAGGTAAGAACAGCATATTACGTGAACGGGGGAAGTTCATTTAGGAACGATAAATATTTCTGGAACCATGAAAACCAACTATTCATAAATTATTCATCATGAATATGCATGATTATTCATGAATATCATTATTTGACATTGATCGTGAATAACTCATGATTAGTTGGTTTCTAAGTTCTTAATATATATGGTTCTCATTTAAACATGCCCTTTGTTGCCTAATGTTTGCTTATTGCTTGACCTTTTATCTTTGAAAATGGAGCAGTTTGGCCAATGGATTGAGTCTGTTCCATGAAGTTAGAGGTGTAAAAAATGTCCCCTCAAAGGTTGGTGCTCAATTTGTGCAATTCTTTTTGGTAATCGTGGGTGTCCGGTGTAGCTTGTACGTATTTCGATGTATCTTATGAGGCCCTCAAGGTAACAGCAGGCAAAATCTCAAGTGGCCCAGAGGTGACTCGAACCAGCAACCTATAGGGAGAAGCCCAAGGCCTTTAATTTAATGACGGTTTAAAATGGGAATTTCATTTTTATTATGGGCATTATACATTGATTGTAGGATGAAACGGGAAAAGATGTTGTCGGCACGAAATCAGAAACAAAACCTGAAACCACAGCTCCTGGTGAAGCAGAAGCTGCGGCTCCTAAGAACGCTGATAACGTTGCCCCCCCACCCGCAAAAGCTCCGGTAAGTCTTTAACATTCACAAAAATGTTACTACAAAGGTGCCCCCATCCGTGTATGGATGAGAGTATCTCCAACAGAATCTTCAAAATAGGAAAAATTAAAGATTTTGGAGTTTTTCTTGCCCCATCCCAATGTTTCCCAGTAAAAATTCGAAACCAACCTTAATTTCAGGAAGTTCCCCCCGACAATGAATTCGAGAAACGGATAAGGCCCGAAGTGATACCAGCACACGAGGTTGGTGTAACTTTTGCCGATATCGGTGCCTTAACTGAGGTCAAAGAGTCTCTTCAAGAACTCGTAATGCTACCTCTTCGAAGACCCGACTTGTTCATCGGAGGTCTTCTAAAACCATGCCGAGGAATACTGTTATTCGGACCTCCGGGAACCGGGAAAACCATGCTAGCCAAGGCCATTGCTAACGAGGCCGGAGCAAGCTTTATTAACGTTTCTATGTCCACCATTACTTCAAAGTGGTTTGGTGAAGACGAGAAGAATGTGCGAGCCTTGTTCACTCTTGCAGCCAAGGTCTCGCCGACTATTATATTCGTGGATGAGGTAGATAGTATGTTGGGCCAACGATCAAAAGGCGGTGAGCATGAAGCTATGCGGAAGATAAAGAACGAGTTCATGACTCACTGGGACGGGCTTCTATCGAAATCTGGTGAAAGAATTCTTGTTCTTGCTGCAACCAATAGACCATTTGACCTTGATGAAGCAATTATCCGGCGTTTTGAAAGAAGGTATTTGTAACAACCTCTCATATGGATAGAAAAGTAGATTTGTAAACTCCTTATAAGCTCAAATTTATGGGTTACCAAAAACTTTTATCGTAGTTTTAAATTGTTTTTGAAGGTTATTGAGTCAGCCTGCTGCTTTGAGCTTATAGGGTGTTACATTGATCCTTCAAACTATGCATCAAACTCCTATATTCCAAAATGGAGGTCCTACCTTCTTGTCATCATAATAAACCCTCAGTCCGTAACTCTCATCTATCACTACAACATAATCAGATATATAAGATGTCAAATATGTGTATATATGGGGTGAAGTTCACAGGAAAACCCCAAAAAAATGAAAAACTAAGAAACACCCTGATAACCACCGTTCATCTGGACAATATGCACATATGCATACAAGTAATTTGTCCGGTATGCACATGTGCATAAAAACCAAAAAACAACTTCCATTACATGTATGGACATGTGCGGCGCATACCGTCCAGATGAATGATCATAAGTGTATTCCTCAATTTTTCATTTTTTTAGGGTTTCCCCTAAACACCTCTCTCTCTCTCTCTCTCTATATATATATATATATACACACACACACATACGCGCCCACACACATCTTAATAGGCTATAGGACTTGAGATTATTGTAACACCTTTATGTACAATTGTTTAGTCCTAGAAAATTAAATTCTATAAAGCGGTCTATTAAGACATTTAGACATATTTGATGTCTTTGAAAACCGATTTTGTTGTAGCACATTTCTTTTTTTCTTTTTACTCCTTAAACAATAATAACATTCCCTTTTGGAAATTTAGCTTCCCTCCTCTCAAAAACATATATCCTTAATAATACGTTTTTAGAAAATACGTACAAAACCTTTCTTAACATGTGCCTGGATTCGATTGTTTCTAGATATTACAATGGTATAAGTAATAGTGATTAAGAAGTCCTTGAATACAATTATTTCAGGTCATGTTGGACTCTGACACACTTCATGTATTTACAGAGAAAGTAACTAAATAAAATAATAAGAAAACGATCGAATAGCATGTGATTTACACTAAAATCACGTGAAAATTCACATGTGATTCACGCGACTTTGGCCGCGACCTGAGGTCGTAGGCTACATCGCCTGCACACCCTTGCGTTGACTGTTAGTGTGAAATCACATATGATTTTGCATGTGATTTGGCTGTTTTCATGTTCTTTTATTTGGTCATTATTCTCGTTTGAACCCTCTCTCTCTCTCTCTATATATATATATATATATATATATATATATTGCTGAACTACTCGGTGTTTTTATTTGGAAATGCAATTTAGAATATGAAATTGAAGTGTCCTATTTGGTGAATAGGATAATGGTTGGCCTACCATCTGTAGAGCAGAGGGAAATGATCTTCAGAACTCTTTTAGCCAAAGAAAGAGTCGATGAAGGATTGGACTTCAGAGAGATTGCCAACATGACCGATGGATATACCGGAAGTGATTTGAAGGTATATATGATATTTATATACAACAAATACTCGCACACACTGCTCACCCATTTTTGGTGAGGCTTGAATCATTGACCTCCTTAGAGGCTGGGTTGTACCGGTAACCCAGGTACTATATACCTTTGGTACGTTTGAACCTTGACCTCCTAGAAGACTACTCTTTACCTCTGGTGAGGTTTGAACCTTGACCTCCTGAGGTTGGGGCTGTACTGGCAACCTAGGTACCACTGGGCTCTCCAATCGGTAAATATCCAAACTCGTGACTAACAAAGGTCTTTGCATAAAATACAGAATTTGTGTACAACTGCTGCTTATCGACCAGTTAGAGAGTTGATTCAGCAAGAGAGAAAAAAGGATATTGTAAGTATTCTTAAACGATTAACACCAGTCGATTCTCTTTTATGTACATCATTCTATTTTCTTTTTGCTTCATGTAAAACTAGCTGATAAGTTAGCTGACAAATGGTGTTTGTAAAATTGAAGGCGAAAAAGATCAAAGCTGAGAATGGTGAAGACTCTCAAGCCCCAGAAGAAACTACCGAGCAAAGGGTAATAACTATCAGGCCACTCAACATGAAGGACTTCAGGGAAGCCAAAAACCAGGTTCTCTCTCTCTCTACCTTGCTTTAGTTACATACAATCTGTGAGGATGGAGTTCTTTTTTCCAAAAACTATGGGTGTCCAAGCCAGCTTGCGCACAACTCGACTAATCCCATAGGGCCCTGAAGATAACAGCCATGAAAATCCCCTGTGACCTCAAGGAGATTCAAGCCGGCAACGAGAGGAGTCCAAAGGCCTCGCCTTAATCTCTCTAATTTTTGTTCCACCCGTTTTTGGTGGTACAGAAAACAAATGCTTTTTGTCCTACTCAGATCTTGCCTTGTTCTTATTCTTAGCCAAACATGGTACAAGTTTTTTCCCATCCCGTCCCACGTACCAAAAACACCCTCAGAGCGGTATCCTGAACTCTAGAGATCTAGCACTTGAAAAAACAAACAAATTTGTATAGGAATATATATTATATATAGAGGGAGGATCAAACAAGAAGTCGGATCAATTTGCGAGAAGGCGAGAAGTTTCAAGATCATATATAAGGGGTTGTTTGGTAATTACTGAATGATTTGGTGCAGAATGATTAAGAGACTCTCAGTATATAGTGCAAAATAAAATATAATTGTTTGGTAATTATGTACAATGAAATTAGGGCTCTTAATGGTTAAGGGAGATCCATGATACAAAATCATTCAGAGGTTTTAAAACCATTAAGAAGCAGACATTTTTTTGCCAAACAAGATTCACCTCTTAATGGAACTATTAAGAGGTAAACAAACAACCCAGTAAACACATCCGGGAGACGTAGTGAGCGCGACCGGAGAAGGTCGCCCGCCCGCTACGTGCAAGTCAACGCAACATGTGTTTAATCATATATGATTAAGTGTGTATTTACTGATCTCGTTTAACTTTTATTTACAGGTTGCGGCTAGTTTTGCAGCGGAGGGATCAATAATGAGCGAGCTGAAGCAATGGAACGATCTATACGGGGAGGGAGGTTCAAGGAAAAAGGAGCAATTAACTTACTTCCTGTAAGTTTCATCACCTCCTATCCTTACTTAAAAACCTCTAGAGTTGTTCCATATAATATGTACATACATATAGGTAATTGAAACAGACCACCTATGAACCCTTCTTCAATCTAACCACTTATATGTTGGCTTAGCATACAAAAACCTCACCTCCCTAAGTAGTATATAACAAGGGTTATAATGGTTACTTTGGGTCACCTCAGGTGGATGGATGGTTAGGATTGTATACAAGAGACCCTCTTCAAAGTGAATAGGATTTCTTTTCTTTTCTTTTGCTTTGTTACATAAAAACACAGATTGCAACATAAATAAAATGTATTTTCAATTTTGCTTATCTTTTCACATGTTTGTTTTCATTAGCCCGACCCAACCAGTTGGCTATTCATCTATAAGAACATTCTAAAAGAGACTGTTTTGCTCCATAACCTTGAATAAGAATTTTATCATCCATTGTCTATCTCCAAAATTTCGAAAACAAAAATACATTCGATTCCACGAGATTCTCCATTTTGGATATTACGAACATTGATTTTATGATTAAAATATTTCATTCATCTGATATGTATCTTCGAAGTTTTCTATTGGTGGAAATATATTAAATAATATTTCTATCTCATTGTAATTATTTTTGGGGTGTTCTCCAAATTTGAAGAATTTTACACACTCTCCCCTACTTTCTCCATCTTGGAGAAAGGTTCTGGACAATCTGTTGAAGCAAAAAACATGTCCAAAATCTCTATTTTCGGGAATTTGTTGGAGATGCTTTTACCTTACCAGATGAACATGACAAAAACCGAGAATCTTACCCGGTAAGAGCGATGACACGGGTCGAGAGTTTAGCCGGTAAATGAGGATGACAACTCTTACCTGATTAGCGCTTACCTGATAAGTTGTTACATAGGATGCCGTTTTAATGAATTAGAATCTTACCTAGAAAGGTAACTGAGAGTATTCACTCTTACCGGGTAAACGTTCGGGTAAACGGCCCCTTAGCTAAATGACATCCTAACAAGTTTTTTTTAATCCATGACCTTAAGACAGGTTTTTAGGCATCTTTATGTATGGAAGTGACATTTTTTCTGTTTAAACCTGTCGGAACTCAGAAAAACTCAAAAGGTCACGGTTTTAAAATAAACGTGACAGAAGGTCATTTAACAAGAGGACCCGAAAATTAACCACATTAGTTAGAGATTAGATAATACTAGTGTCACTACCACAATTCAACTGCAAAGATCAAATCTACAAAAACTGCAATTTCATTAACACTAGAACCATATATCGTATGGGACGCCAGCAACAGTTGTATAGGGTCAAAAGTTCACCAGATCGACCCAGACCCGGAATCATAAAGCACTTACATGTAATTATAAAGCTAGTAATGATAATTTTCACAAGAATATAGATATACAAACCTCCTACACCTTCTTCTTGTTCAAAGACCTTGGGATCTTGCTGATCACTTTTTCATTGAATACTGCATAATGTTTCTTGATCTCGATCCATGCTTTCTCTGCAACTGGGTCTATTTTATCTTCGTATTTATCATAAATCACGGGCACGGTGTGGAGCAGAACGAACGCTGTATCAACCATTTAAAGTTCAATAACAAGACGAAACCATTTATTACAAAGTAATTGTCAGAGTCTCACAAGGGTTCTTTTGGAGGGTAATTTGGGGGTTTCACATAATTCTCACATGGTATCAGTGCCAAGGTCTACCACTTTAGGGACTCGACTCTCCGGGCAATCTCTACTCATCTAACCCCCTCACCCGTCTCTATCCCCCTCTTGACATTCTAGGACAATTTGCCCATCTAGCTTTCGTTGGAGGGGGAGTGTTAAAGAGTCCCATAATGGCTTAGACTTGAACCATTTCTCCCCTATATATGTTGGAACCTCTGTTCTCTCCTCAAGAGCTCTTTTGGAGAGTAATTTGGGGGTTTCACATATTCTCATGTGGTATCAATGCCAAGGTCTACCCCATACTCGTCTAGCCCCCTCTCGACACTCTAGGACAATTTGCGCCAGTCTAGCTTTTGTTGGAGGGGGTGTTAAAAGAGTCCCACATTGGCTAGACTTGAACCATTTCTTCTCTATATATGTTGGAACCTCCGTTCTCTCCTCAAGGGTTCTTTTGGAGAGTAATTTGGGAGTTTCACATATTCTCATGTTCCCGGACTCGGCTCTTTGGGGCAATCTCTACTCGTCTAGCCCCCTCTCGACACTCTAGGACAATTTGCGCCCATCTAACTTTCGTTGGAGGTGGTGTTAAGAGTCCTACATCGGCTAGACTTGGACCAATTCTCCTCTATATATGTTGGAACCTCCCTTCTCTCCTCGAGAGCTCTTTTGGAGAGTAGTTTTGGGGTATGGTAATGTTGATAGTAAGGAAATATGGTATAGTTGGAGTAAGAAGATTACATATGTAGAACAATGTTAAGAAGTTGCAGCAGCTGCCTATGATTGATACAAACCATAAACCTGCAATAACCTGATCAACAATAGCACGTATGCACGTGAGAACTCTGAACATGAAAATATGGATAACGCAGAAACTAAGACACCGAATGCTAGTAGACAGTTTGATTTCGACATTTTGTGTAACGTGCAAATAAGGTAATTGCAGAAGTTTATATCGAAAGCATGTAAAAGCTAGGATTTGCCCAAAAGGAAATCAGTATACCAATAGGAACTTCTTTAGATCTCTTCCCGAAGCAATATCATGTAAGGCTGCAAATCCTCGATTTATCTCGATCCTGACATCCGCTACAATTTGCATAAGAGGTTCCTCTGGAATGGAAACTTCCATAATCTTTGGTGGAGACCTGGAAAGCAACATCGAGTGGCATGTAGAAATACAAATTTTAGTAATAAACCAATAATTTTAGTAATAAACCAATATCAGACGGGTGAACGAAAACCTTTGACATTAGACCACTCACTTTTTGATGAAGGCCGTGACATTAGACCATAAAAACAATATTGAGAGCGAAAGGATCAATCCATGGCAAACCAGTGTCAGCAAACCATACTCCAGTACTTCAAAAAGGAACCAAATAATGGTTGCTGCTCCTAGGACCCCAGCTGATACCTTCTTGTCCCGCCACAAAAACACATCGGCCGCTTCACATGCAAGATAAAGTCAGACAAGATGTCCCGATAAAAGGGTTTCGGCAACTATGTTTACGAATTTCTTGATATATCTGTATATATTTACTAATAAAGTTAAAAAAAATTAAACTTCGACAGGCTGTGAGCCAAGATTACCACCACCCTTCGCTTTAAAATGTGTGTGTATATATATATATATATATATCCATATCAAGGTTCTAAACGGCGTGAGGTTTGACGTGGCAGCGAGGCCAAGCCTTAGGAGCCACGGTGAGGCCAGATGTTTTTAAAGTGTGACTTACGGTGGCAAATCTCTATTCATATATAATATTATATATAGGAGCTTTGATCATTTGAGAACTTCATAAATTGTGAGATCCGTGAGGTCCATTTTAAATAATTTAAATTAGGTTGTATGTTAAAAACTAACAAATAAGACATTAAAAATGTAAGAACAATCACTCGCATTATAAAAACCGCACACTAGGCCATGGCGTGCCACAGGCTTAACGTGGCGTGAGATACAAGCCCTGAGTCACAGCGCGGCATGGTGGCTGTTGCGGCAAGCCTTTTAGAACGGTGATCCATATAGAGTTCCCTTCTTTTAGAAACCCAATAATTTCTACGAACTTACAAACCAGTTTTCATGTGTTGTTCCATAAATGAAGCAACTTGTATGAAAATGTAGTATTATACAGTGTTGTTTCATATTTGATAGGTTCATGACTGTTTTTTCCACACACAGTCACACAAAACAGTCCTGAATGTTACCCTTCCAGGCACGGTTTCGAATCTCATTTGTATCATTTTCTTAGTTTTTAGCTCTTAAATGTTTCTTAAAAAAGGGGGGGATAAAAGACTCGAACACGACCTCACATTCAAAAGGCAAAAAGTTAACCAACAGACCAATAATGATTTTGTAAAATATCCACAGCATCCTTTTTTATAATCAAATGGTACCACTACTTGTAGAAATCTCTGGGGTCCACCTCCGCCAATAAATCCTACATGAAATGGGGTCGGGGAAAGTAAGATGTTTGCAGCCTAGCCTTTCCTCTTTCTAAAGAAATGCATCATTCATTTTAGAACAAGGTGAAAGAAAAAATTCAAATCCACCAAATTAACGTAAAATAGCCATTTTGACCGATAGAATTCACCTCCTAGCCATCCCTCTCTCAACTTTGCCATTTTATATATACCTCCGCCCTTGGGGCAACTTGCTCGCAGAGGTATTGATAAAATTGTAAACAGTGGACGCAGATGTGTAGGAGGTGAATTGCAATCGGTCAAAATGGCTATTTACTTTAATTTCACCACCGTTTTTCATAACCTACTGCGTCTAGATCTAGATGCACAACCCAGAGCAGACTCGATGATGAAGTCTATGGTTTTCATTTCATAGTCTAACGGAGTCAATAGATAGTCATAATTAGGCAAGACCAATAATAAACTAATTTTGTCAAAGTTCATTTAAGTTTTCAATTATATCCTACTAGTTTGTACATGGATTAACAAATCAAAAGATCGTGATTCCATAATCGGCCATTATCGGACACGATTAGAGTATGAACACATAAGTGAACATAATTTTTTTTCAATAAATCAGAGGAGATAACTTACGAGAAGCAGCTACAAGTTAGTGTTCAACGAAAACGAATTTAATACATTCGAAACTTCTAATCAAAGTCTTAAAACCACTCGAAATTTGAAAAAAAAAAAGGAAATTCATAAATCAAATAAACCAAATTGAAATCGAAATACGAAAGAACAACGTACGTTTTCCACCGCCGAAGACCTGGTGAACGGGCTTTTCCCTTCCAAAGAGACGGAAAACCTTCGATTTAACGGATGAAATCTTACTATCATCATCGGAATCTGAAGAAGAAGATGACGACGAAGAATTCTTGTGATTCTGTATCTTCTCAATCAACGATTCAGCCTTCGAATCCTCATGATCTGACATGCTTGCTTTCCTTCGTCGATCGAAATCTCGTGACCTAAATTCGTGTTCTATGAATTCGATCTACAAATCGCACTACAGGATTCTGTAAGTTATAGCAGTGTGTGTGTGTTTGCACTTTGCAGCTAAGTAAGGGAGTCAAAAACGGAAAAGTATTTGGCGGAACCTGAGTCCGAGCCTGAGGTTCGGATATTTTTATCCGAACCTATTCCTTCTTATGGTTGATTTGAAATTTGGAAGGCATAAATTTTTGGTTAATTGCATTTCACCCCCTGTATAATTTCCTAATGAATAAATTAACTTTTTAGTCCTTATGGTTTATTAAAATTGTGACTTTTGTCCTTGTGGTTTTGAAATTTCAGTTTTTGTCCTTATAATTTGCAAATCATTGTTATTTGTGTCCTTTGAGCTAACTTTTACCTTTAAATATAAGAACATATGAGTGTGTAGAAAGTCAACTGATTTAAATCAAACCATTCGATCCAATTAGAACAGACGGATCGTAATCAGATATATTCAATTGTAATTAGATCGTATCCAAATTTCAACATTCAAATTGGATCGGTGGGTTTTTGTATTATAGTTTAGAATCCAATAAAAGTGAACCAATTCAATCCAGTGATCATCCAATTATCCATCAAACGACCATCCAATTAATAACTATATATAATTATTAAGATTTTACGATATTGTTTTTTAGTATATATATATATATGGTATATTTCAAATGCAACTATGTTCATTTGTACAACAAATGCAATCCAACTAATTGAGATATTTATGGAAATGATGAGAGTTTTTTTTATTATGATTTGAATATTTATGGAAAATGACTAAAGTTCATTAATTATGATCAATACTATATATTAGAAAACAATCAAAACTTTTATGAAATCATATATTCATCAAATTAAATGGACGGCTGAGATTGAGTTTTATTGGTTATACAAATGTAAATGGTTGTATAATAACTCACCTATATATATATAATGGTTTTTAATAAATTTTGAATTTTTTTGAGTAATTGGTTGAAAATTGTATTAAAAATATTGGATGGATCCAATCAGATCAAATGAATAATCAATAGTAACATCCAATGGATGAAACAGATCAGATCCAATCATCAATTGGATTGGATGGGAGATGCTTTAAGGGCCTAAACCAGTAATGATTTGTAAACCACAAGAATGAAAATAACAGTAAATTGTAAACTATAAGGATAAAAACAACAATGAATTATAAACCATAAAAATGAAAATTGTTATTTAAAAAGTACATAAACAAAAATCATTATTTTCAACAAATCATAGGAACGAAAAACGTAATTTACTCATTTCCGAACCTATTGCTTCTTCGTAGTGTTTTTTGGAAGGAATAATTTTGGATTAACTACATTTCGTCCTTATAGTTTGTAAATCAGTATTATTTTCGTCCATGAGACTAAGGGGATGTTTGGTTACATGTATTAAGTAGTAATCAATGAGAATAAAAATAAAAGAACATGTTTGTTTTTATATAATATAATATAATGGGTTTATTCCTCCAAAAGCCCAAATTTTCATTATGGGTTAAACTGAGGAGAATCGAAATTCATTCTCATTTTCATTTTCATTTTCATTTTCATTTTCATTTATTTGTCTGAACCAAACACCCCCTAACTACTACCTTTAAATATAAGGGAGTAAAATACCAATGAGCTGTAAACTACAAAAAAAAAAAAAAAAAACTGTAAATCATAAGGATGAAGACAAAAATGAATAATTATAAACCATATGGATGCAAATTGTTATTCCAAAAGTAGAGGGACGAAAATGGAATTTTTAACAAACTAAATGGAGAAAAAACGTAATTTGCTCATTTCCGAACCTATTGCTTCTTCCTGTTGATTTAGAATTTGGAAGGAATAAATTTTGGATTAATTGCAATTTCACCCCCTGTACTATTTCCAAACCTATTGCTTCGTCTGGTTGATTTGAAATTTAGAACTAATGAATTTTGGCTTATTTGCATTTCACTCCCTGTACTTTATTTGTTTCATAAAATTTGTATAGCTTATTTTGGGATATTTCATTGACATACAAAAATAAGCATAAGTGATTAAGTATTGTTTATTGATGTATATTACTTACAATTCAAGATTACAAGTAAATTGTGCGAAAGTACAATTGATTAAAACTCCATGTTTGAATTCGTGTAACTAACTACAGATAAACATAATCAAATAGATAATAAACATCTCATATTAATATCATTGAGTTCTAACAAAATATTTAATTATTATTTTTATAACAAATTATATTATCAAGCAAAAATAAGAAAAATGAATTAAAGAAATTACACCCAAAAAAAAATTAAATTATTAGTTTGGTACTAGTATCAATATATATTTTTCAAATTTTTATGATATCTTCACATTTATATTTTATTTAAAAATAAAAACATTATCGTTTTCTCAAACCACATAAAACAGTATTATAACATCGACTGAGACAAAAAAAACATTAAAATCGAGATATATCTCGCTGTATTGCGCGAATACCCATCTAGTAATAAAATTAAAAATGATATCATATTTCAAAACAATATGTTAAATTGTATATTTATTTGCTTAGATTTTTTAAGTAAATATGGTAAATAAAATCTCTTCAATAATTATCAACATTCCAGTTCAAACACAATGATGGAGTCGAGAAGTGAACCTAGAAAAAGAAGGTATATTACTGATTTCTATATTCGTACGTAATTGTATGTAACTTATATACAAATAACAATACTCTGATATAAAGAAAACACGGGATTATCTGACTTTTGAATACAGTTAGCATTCTTTTTCACCCTCAACAAATCAAGAAGTATCAGTGACGAGCCAATCACTAATAGTATTAAGCTCAAGTGGATGACGTGGTTGGCTCGTCTACAGACCATGTTAGTCGAGGGAGATGACAAACAGTTTCTATGTCAGTTTTTCCACTTGAGCTATCATACGTTCATTCTCGTTAGATCAATTGAATTTTTTGTGCGTTTTTTTCATGATTTGAGATTCAAGAAAACAAGTAAGGGACTCGAAAAGTACGATCCCCGGTTTTCATCTTGTAGTGATTAATGTCCTATCGACGGTTATAAATGTGCATGGGCCCCATGAAGTCATGTCGGTGTCTATTAAACGATAAATAAGTGCCTACAATTATGAGAATAGGTACTTTAAATCCTAAGGAAATGGTCATGTGATTAATCCATCATGAGAAAACGTTAAAAAATATTCGTTTGCATGATTATTTGCTCACAAGTTTTGAATCTACAAACCAAATAAACTTTATGTTTTACACAAATGGATTCGAAGGGGTGCACGTAGGATTACACAACGGCTAACCCTGATGATTTGATCTTTACATGTTATTTAGATTGTTAAAACGATGTGGTAGAAAGCAACGTGGTTAAGGATTTACCCGGTGTGAGATATCACATTGTTCGAGAGGAGGGATTCAAACCCTTGATACCGTGGTTCGTAGCTACGTGCTCTAATCCTCTTCGCCTTTCATGGTCACATATCTTTCAGGCTAAGAAATGGGACAAATCTCTGTGCGCCCTGCCCGAGCTGACATGCTTTTAACATTGACTTCACCCCCACTAAACTCGAGTCGCAAAGACTAAACCATGCATTGCCAAACAAAATAGTGTATGAATCTGTATTCCGCAGATGGATAAACAAAAAATAGCTATATCAACCATATGATCAAGTGTACAATAATAACATTATACACCAGATAAATATGACAACATTTTTTATACCAGCAGTGGCAGATCCACATGAAGAATAAGGACCAACTGTCCTCCCATCAAAACCTGTTGAAGTTTTTTATATTTTAAAGAATAATTTCCCAATTTTCAACAACAACAACAACAATTTGGAATCCGGATGGTTTTCAATCAAGTGGTCATTTTCATGAGATGGTGAAAACCTCCTTCGGATAGTCATCTCGATTGGATAGTGATCATGATCATGTCAAATAAAAGGTTTTTAATCTGAGTTTTAAAAACATTAAGGGGCTGTTTGTTTGGCTCTTAATGGTTACATTAAGAGCCAACCTCTTAATCGGTAAGAGGTTAGGTCTGTTTGGCAAAAAAAATAACCCTCTTAATGGTTACAATAACCTCTTAACTATTTTGCATCTCCTACCTCACTCAACCATTCAGATCGTTGTTTTTCCAATTTTACCCTTCCCATCTCATCTCTTCACGCAGGTCGCAGAACTACCTGCAGGTCGCAGGTCGCATGTCACCTTAGCCAGCTTCGCCGGTCACCATCGTCGGTCGCCATCGCCATCGCCGGTCACCTCCACAGCTTCGCCGGTCGCCATCAAATCCTTATCCAGAAAGGCGCCGTCTTCTCCGAAACCATATATGAGGAGCGAACCAAGTGGTAGCAACAAGCGACGAATCACATGTTCGAATCACAGGGATGAAATCGAGGGAAAGAACTGGAAAGGAGGGAGATCGAAATGAAAACACAAACCGGATGGGAGAGGAGATGGACTGGATTTGATCTCGATTTGGGTTGACATCGATTTGGAGGCGCATGAACCGGAACCCTAAGATCGTGAAGATCGGAACCCTAAGATCGTGAAGATCGGAACCTTAAGATCGGAACTGGATTTGATCTCCATCTGCGACCTCCTAATGCTCTGATTGTGAAGATCGAACCAAGTGAAACCCTAATTTCCTTTTGGGTATCTGTTAGTTCAATAAAAAAAACAGGACCAAAGCATACAGGGTTAAAATGGTAATTTGATAACATTTACCAAACAACAATATTTCATTCAGCACTTAACCATTCTGACCCTCTTAACCATTCTGACCACTTAGCCATTCTGCACCAAACCATTCAGCAACTGCCAAACAGCCCCTAAGAGATAGATACATATTGGATGATACAATTCAATCGAGATTGAGCTGTTTATCCTGTATGAGATGTTGCAATCAACTGCAGCACAGTTAGCAGAGCGTCGAAATTATCCTTAAAGAAAACAATATCATTCGTAACTCAGCAATTTAGTTTGATCTTCCTATTTTAAATTCTCGTCAATATTATTTTTTCAAATAAATTTACCCTT